GGTTTCTCCTACCTGAGTCACTGGTGGTGGCAGACCACACTTTAAATAAACTTTGCATTAGAGCTCCAAAAATGTGAACCGCAAGCAATGAATTAAACAAATGCAGAGGGAGGATCCCCAGGGAGCCCTGGGCTCACCACAGGCTCCAAGTGCTTTTAAGGGGGTGGAAGTTTATCAAAAGAAAAGACAAGTCCAGCTTATTACAGTATCGGGATACAATGCCAAAGGATTTCTTTCCAAATAAATTACATATACCTGCAAAGACTCGAAAAAAAAAACCTTTTGAAGGGAGGAGAGCATGAAGAATGGGCAAAAAAAAAAAAAAAAAAATCCACATTTATCATTAACAAGTAAAAACCATGCAGCAGCTCATTCTACCCGCAATTACACACATGACTAAGTTTAATCAGGCCCTGAAGTCAGGAACAAACAGGGAGCGTGAGCACCGTAACAATCGTGTTTAAAGTAAAAATTACATTCCCTGCTTGGCCTCTGGTGGAGCAAGGGATGGCAAGGCAGGTGGCACAAGCCTCCCCCTGGCAACTCCTGGGACCTTCAAACACACTCTCAGAAACCTGATTCTCTGGTTTGCTTGGGTGTTTCTGAGAGCTCTCTGAAGAAGCAGTGTTTATGTGTAAAAAAAAAAAAAAAAAGAAATAATTTAATTAGTGGTGGTAAAGGTCCCATCAAATTGACCTGCACCTTGAAATTTCAGCAAAGTCAAACATAGGGAGGTAACATATCTCTTTCCTTCAATTTAAATTTAGGCCTGATTCTGACAGTCACTCCATTTTATCAGTCAAGCAAGAGGTACCAAGCCAGCAAAACTCAAATTTCAATTAAAAAAACAAAAATAAAAATAATAAAGGCAGTAATTGTGACATCAAATGCCCTGAGCTAGACTTATGAAACTGAAGTTTTTGGCATGCAGAACATCTAACAAGTCAGAGTCACAGTGTAAATAGGGAATTCCTCATTGAAAAGAAAAAAAAAAACATGTTACTTCTCAGTCAGCTGGAATAAGAGTATGTCTTAACACTTGCTTCTCAGAATTATGGAACACTTCCTCTGTAAGAACTTTTCCTAAAATTATTTTTCTAGTCTTATTCTCAGGAGAATCCAGCGTATTTGCATCCATAATAATGTTTTTCCTGTATTTAAGATGCCTTTCCCCAAACCACTTCTGTAATTGTACATCCACTCAACAGCAGGCATGCATTAAATAGCACAGAAATTATGAATACCCTCGAGCAGCAGGAATGGATTATATTTTGAAATATACAGAATAACTTCTAGATGTTTTGAGGCTTATCCAGCAAAGCCTTTCTCCTAGGAAACACATGTGTGAATGAGGACCATAAAAGATCCTTTATTAGCAAAAAATGAAAGACAGAAGTGAAAAGGTTTTGTTAGTCTTAACTCATTAAAAAAACACCCTCTCAATTTTGATAAGTCAAAGTGGAAAGATGTAACTTGCACTAGAAATGGAAGCTTTTTCCTGATTTATTTTTATTTTAGCTATAGAGACTCCATCTCTGTTACACAGTAGTCTCTGACTGCAGGTTTTCTTCAATGACTGCACTCCATTTTTAAAATTATATTAAAAATTCTGCCTTCTTCAGTAGGTACTATCTGCTATCAAGTAGGTTTCAGCACTTTTAAAGTGAAAATATTATAGAAACATCCAGTTATTTACAGGACTCAGGCTGACAGGCCATAGAGCTAAGCCTCTATATTGAATGCATACTCCACACAGCTCATAGTGCCATTCATATGCAGCCCCCAAAGAGATTTGGGTAATGCCTCAATAAGCATAACTTCTAACTGTGGACTGGGAATTCATTCTTATTAATTTTTTTTTTCTCCTCCAATTACGAAATGCAAATTGCGAAAAGCAGAATTTGCATCTTAACTTGACTTATATATTATCTCTGCCTTGCACCTTAGGAAATTGCCCGATATTAAGTTACAGTTAAAGCTGCACCAAGACCATCACGGGGTACTGGAATCAGAATAATTTCATTTGACTTCCTGGCTCAATTGTGTTTTGAAAAGTAAGATCTACTTTTTGTCTTTACGTATTTTTAAAATGTGTAAATTAAGAGACATAGGTCAGCTGTTATTAACTGAAAGTAACATCTGTCTGCCCAAAGAAGCATTTCCTTCCACTGGATATCTCTGATTTAAGAACAACCTGCTAGAGAGCTGGATAAACCTCATTCTTGGCAGTTGGCTAACCCACTAATTATTCTAATTTTCTACTTTATCCTAAAGTACATCTTTATTTCAGCAAATAATTAAACAGATCATTTAGAGACCTTGTTCCACAAATCCTAGTTCAGTTCCTTGCTGCTCTCATGGCTACTTTCACTAAGCTTAATATTATCCAAAGCACATTGCCAAGTTTCATTAAAAATGTTGATTTAGCCCTTGAATAAATTGCCACAGTAATATTAGATGTCTGTATGGATAAATACAATTCAACTCCTTTTCCTGCCACTGCACCCACACACAAAGCATGAGAAAGGCAGAACTCCTTTTGCTCTACTTTCTGTGTCAAACAGATTTTTGTTTGCATTCTTCTGAGTATTTTTGGTCATATCCAAGAATATATTTTCATTCCAAGGAGCAGAGATTTGCCACACAACTAGCCTCGACATCCAAAAATCTGAAATATTTGCAGAAATAGAATCCTTTAGGTTTTGATGACTTAGTATTTACTGTAGATGCTCTTGAGTTTGGGATAAATGCTACTTTCTTAGCATACTGTAAAGTTTTATGAAAAATATATGAAAGTTAAGACATAACTTTTCTTAAAGGTTAAGACACAACTTTTCTTATGTGATAACACTGAAAAACACTTTATTATCAAAAAACAATCTGAAAGGCAAAGGGAGAATCAAACTTTGGGTGCTTTCCCTTGCTAAAAAGGTGTTTTTAAGCCTTTTTTTTTAGGATCTTGCACCCAGGAACTGAGGATGCAGCAGCTTTAGGGCAGCACCAGGCTGGAGGTGTTGGGTTTGTGGCAGCCCTTCCCTCACCAGGAGAGCGCTGGTGATGCCACCAGAAATTCCACATGGGAAACAACCCTAAACAAGCTCTATTGGATAAAGCAAGAACTGTGGGAGAAGAGTTTTCTGTGACTTGGCCTCGAAGCATTTGCATTTTTACTTGCTTTAAGGAGCCAGCCCTGGCTGCAGGTCTGAGCAGGAGAGCCCAGGAAGGAGGGAGGACTCGTTGGTGAAAATCAGATCAAACCTGGCACTTGATCCCAGAACATGCTCCCATCTCCCTGTTTGTGATGGAGCACTTCCAGGGGTGAAGGAACTCCCAAGTTAACTTCCCCCACTGCCACCCCTTTTCTTGGATGAAATAAGTTTTAATTTTATTTTTTTTTTTTCTTTTTGCTCAGTGACACAATACTGGAAAACATTTTGGGCAGGACCCTAAGGTGCTGTCAGCTTAAGATAAAGCCCTCTGCAGCACCAAGGATTTGGCATTCCATCAGCACAAATTACTGGAGTAATTACAAATTACTCCACAAAAAGAACACCTATATTTGTGAACTGGATCACGGTGCTAATTCTCCATCCCCCCACTTTTGACAAGCTGAAGAGAACTGAAAATTATTAGCCAAGGAAATTGACTGAAAACTTGATTAGCAGCTGGCAAAAAGACTTCAGGTGAAGCTCAAAAACTTCAGCGACGTTGAGAAAAATAACCAGCAAAGTGGAAATTATTTCAGTTCAGCTTTTGTAATGTTTCAGGTAAACAGGGATATTTCCTATCTTCCTATCTAATCCAAGAACTGCCACTGCCACATGAAGTGCAAGAAAGAAAAATGGAGGTAGAGACTGATAGAATGGATGCCCAGTCTCAAAATATAACTAATTATGTTGTAGCCAATAAGAAGAGCCACTCTCTAGATTCAGCCCTGACTCAATCTGTAAGCAGAGTAGAAATTCTTTGCACATATGAAAATCATAACGCTGCTCTGTTTCTACTAAAGTTTGCCCTTATTTCAAAGAATTAAAACAAAAATATCACTACATTCTTAGCTGTCCCCCTACACACAGGACTCAGATATTCATAAAAAGATAATTACTCAGTCCAAGGCCTCTGTATATTTGCAATACTTTGCTTCCATAGGTTTTCCTTCAACAATCAGTATTAAATAAAATGAATTTTATTTAATAAAAAAAAACCTGAATTTCAGGCAAGCACAGGCAGGCTGTCAAAATCAAACTGACCAAATACAATGGGGAAAGGGCATCTTCCATTGCAATGGACTGGGATGTAAAAGAACAAAAAAACAAGGTCCGATATATTTCTACACCATCCTAAAAAAAAAAAATACAATTTTTAAACTAATAAAACAGGACTGTAAATTCAAACATTCCTAGCTGGCGTCAAACCAGAGCTTTTGCGTCAAAATAAGATAATTTTCCTGCTGATTTAAACAGAAATCTTTGCTAATCATGGGAAATGTCTTTCTAATCTACTTCTGTCCATAGCTGTTTAAAGACTCTACAATCCATGGAATATTACGGACAAAAATGGAAAATATGTATTTTCAAATGTAATTTGCCATATATTTAGGAAAAATACCCAGTTTTTTGAAGGAAATAGTACCAATACCACCAGAGCTCTGAGGCAACTCTATGCTTAGCTATAAGCACCTCCCAGAACACCTGGAAAGATTTCCAGAAGTTTAAATGGGCATAAGAAAAATACTTTTAAGTGTTACGAATCCTGACCCCTTTTGTGTGTTAAGAGTGAACTTTTTTTTTTCTGCCTGGAAACTCCATGTTCTGAAAAAAATCTGTTAAAGGTGGAATCGAGAGGTAATTTCTTTGCACTGGAATTCCCAAAGGCAGAATCTCAGGGTGATGAGTTTGGAACCTCCTCAACCAGAGGTTGTCCACAAGCTGAGTTTGGAGTGAGATCCCAGTGAGATCTGTCAGCATAAAAACACTGCAATACATTTAAAACCTGCTTACTTTTCCTGGGCTGGCTGCTCTGCCTCATAAGCAGCCACCTTAGCTCCTGTCCCTGCAGGTTTTGCTGTCCTTTGCCTTCGTTTTCTCCTGGGAGCTGGGTCCACGATGTCTGGGCTGCCCAGCAGGGAGGAATCTCTTTGTTCCGGAGCTGCCAAGAGGAAAAACAACCAAGGTCAAAAGAAATCTGACATTTGAAGTGTTTCAAGACAACCCATACAGTATTTCTTTTCTGTGTCTTTCTTATGAAAATTTCTATAGTCACAAAATCACCCCAGACCTGGGAGAAGTTTGTGACATAAAGGCAAGTTCAAAAGGACTGAATTTAGACTAGAAAGATAATCTTCCCTCTGCACCTCTTTGTAACCAGTGGAGAGAAATACCACCAACCTTAAACTGGACAATCTGTCTGGACTTTCACTGCCTCCTTTGCTGAAGCTTAGTGAAGCAGGCTCTGTCCAGGTTCATCTACCTGTTTAAATTACTGTGTAAATTCATAAAATATGCTTTATCTACACTTAAACAACAAACCTCTCTCCACTTTGACAATTAGCTACTCAAAACTCAAATGTCAAGACAAACAGATCCTTCCTTAAGCTAAAATCCTCCATAAGAAAAAAAAAAAAAACACCAAACAAAAAACCACCAAAAAAACCCAACCTATTAATGCATTCAGAAGTTATGCAGACATTTTAATTCCAGCTATCAACATCCTGCAGTGTATTTTCATTTGGTATGCCTGCTTTCAAAATGAAATCGTAAATTACCTATAATTTTCAAGACAACGATATCCAGAACAGCACAAATTTCAGCTGGAATATATTCAATAACAATGTGGCGACTGAGGCTGAAGCTGTTAGGGTAACTTCCCTGTTTATTATGTTTCTGTGCATTTTAGGGTGGTTTAATCCTCACACGGATGAAAGATGCCATAATTTGAGATTCAACACAAATGTTTTTCACAGAAAGTAAATAACTAATCCTTTTCCCCCATTCCTTTCGGAATTGTCATCCACGTGTACTGAAAATGAAGCAGGTTGGTAACACACAGCCCACAGGTGGCATTTTCACCATTTCTCAAAGAAACATGTGTTTCTGGCCAAGAACACTGATAAATTAATCAGAGGCTCCCTAGATCCTCTACCCTCAGAGAAGCACAAGCTTAACATTTAATAATATTAAATATTCACCGGCATGCACCACACTACATCGCAGATACTTGCAGATACTTGCAGGGTGACAACAGGTATTAGCTGACATATTTCCAAGGCACAAGGCAATTAACAAGTTCCAAAGTCCAGCACAGACAGGATACATTCCTACAATAAATGCTGAGAAGGGTTAAATGACATCCTAAGTCTCCACACTAAACTTTAACCAGATATGCATGCTTTTCCAGTGTTAAATGCTGAAAATGTATTTACGATAGTTACTCTTTACCTGTCTGGGGCAGCGTGTCCAACATTTCCATAAACACTATTTTATATATTTCAACATCACTATTCAAAGTTGGCCTCTTCATAATTAAGACACACAGAACAGTTTGCTGTCAAGAACCCAGCAAACTGGAATAAATTTACTATCACAATTCCTATCCTTCCTTTTTGTTGTTCTCCTCCCACACCCTCTACTTTGGCCAAAAAGTAGATCCAGAGGTGAATCTCATATACAAAACCTAAATTTTCCTAGCACAGCAAAGAAATGTCTCTGTGTTTTCACCTGTGCAATGTGCACTGGGGAGCACAGCTCTCATCTCAGCAGTTTTTTTGCTATTTAGACACAGAATTCTTCTGTGTCTAAAATTAATTTGAAAAATACTTTATTTTCTTCTGTTTCTAAAGAATTAATTTATTTTAATTATACCAAAAGAAAGGCTTAAAGACTGAATTCAAGCAGGCCAGAATTCAATCTCACAAAGAGCAGCAGATTGGCTCATGGGTGAGGGTTGATCAGCACAGGCTTGGGGATTTTTGTTGTGTTTGTTCCTTTCCTCTAAGCTAAAACTCTGGGAATTGCTGAAGAAAAGATGGAATGCACTTGACTCTCACAGTACCATGCATCACCACTGGACTTTAAACACACACCCACTACTGCTACCCAAAAATAATTCCCATTAATGAATTCATTTATAGCACTTGACTAAAAGCCAAAGAAAGCTTCAGCAAAATATTATTCATTGCTCAATGTAAAAATCTTTTGGAAAAATGAGAGACAGTCTTAGGCACAAGCCTAGCTTTTCATCCTGAAAATATTTTCTGTCCAAATTTAAGCAATGTTTTAAGGAAGGAAAGTTCCTTGACTCCTCGTGAAATTAAATTTCTTACTTTTATATTATGTAATTCAATATGAATGATTGTTGTACCTTTGAGAGGAATGGTAGCAATTTAGACACAGACAAGAGTACTGCTAGATGAAAAACAGTAATTAAACCTCCTACACCAAACATTGATTAACAAAAGAAAATATTCCCAATAGATAACATACTACCTGCAGGTGAGTAACTGCAAGAAATGAGATTGATAAGAGAGCAAGAAGGGGACCATGGCTCAAGTACTAGAAGAATATTTGTGCCTAGAAGATAAAAGGCTTTAAATAAAAACTCCTGCTGGTTGGAGGGTTTTATGTTGTTTTGGGGGTGCTTTTTTTTTGTAATTTTGAAAAGTGGTATTATTTGGTGGGTTGAAGGAGTTTTCCAATAGGGTATTCCAGAAAATAACTGAAAACTAAAAATAGCTGTCATTGGTTTGGAAGAGCCAGGGTGAAATTAAATCAATGCAGCCCCACAATGCTGGGGACCTGGAAAGAGAAGATGCCTTCAATACCTACAGAAAAATGTCAGGACTCATCCTCAAGGCATTTAGAAATACAGCATAAGGATCTCTGAAACCACAGAAATTAACTTCTGCAGCCTAGTTATAGGCAGGCAGTCCTGTTAGATTCCACAATACACTTCTGCATTTCTTTATTTCTATAGACAGAAGTCAATTGTTTTTAAAAAAAAATACCTTCCAATCTGTCATATCCACCTTTCAGTGTGAAAAAAGCAATAACTCTGTGCATCTTCATTTGTGTACCCCATCACCTCTAATGAAAAATCCTACAGCTTTGCCTTGCCTAATTATTCATGAGAGTGTCACTGAGAAAACAGGATCCAGATCCTCTCAGTACAGCAATAAAGGGCTAAAATCAGCACCAAAACCTTAGCTTTGCCATAAAAAATATAAACAGGGACCAAAGCAAGCAAAAAGCAGGCAGAAGTTTTCCAAAACTGAGGAATTTGTTTGCCTACAATGACCTAGCTTCACACAGACAGAATACACATTCCTGATGTCCAAATTATGAGTGATGGGCCACAAGCAAGAAAAAAAAGCTGCAATTCATCTGATTTTACCTACAGGAATCTCAATGACAGACATTACTTCTCCTCATCTTGCTGTTATATAGTCAGGATATAACAAATGATTAAATGGTTTCAAAGAACATTCACATTTTCAGCCTGCACCACTAAATGAAATTAGTTTGATCACAATAAAGAACTCGTAGTTATTAAAAATAAAAAAAGAAAGAAGAAGGAAAAAAAAAAAGAATAAAAGGGCTTTTTCAGATTGGTATAGAACAGGAAATATTTTTAAAGGACAGACATTTATCCTGAAGAAAAGCCTTCATTTGAAATTATCTGCTATCCTGGAGATTTCATCAACAGCAGCACAGAATTCTGACAATTTTTATTTATCTTCAGAATAAATAATAAAATAATAAAAAAATTCAGCTTTTTCATCAGACTTAGGAGAATTTGTCCAGATTTTCAGATATGAACACTATTGTAACTCCCCTAAATTCCTCCCAGAGCCCTCCTGTTAGCAGAGCAGAACTCCCTGGCTGAATTCTGCCTAACTCCAGGCAGCATGTGCTGCTCCATGGAATTAATCAACTGGACTCCCAAGTTCTGCTCCTTTAATAAAGCTGCTGATTTAACCTAAAATCAGCAGCAATATTAGACAAAATGGGCTGAGAGGCACCTGGAGGGCAGCAGGACTGCCTGCGAGAGCCGTCCCCCAGGCTGCCAGAGAAAGGAAAAAGCAGAGAGGGAGCAGAACTCATCACTTTAATCCCTGACTGTAACTCCAGCCATCCCCTGGCTCCTCAATCCCAGCATAATTCCCCAGGGATCACCGTGGCTGATGATAATTAGCATCTCTTTGACAGTCTCAGCAGAGCCTTCTAAATGAATGGGTATGGAAATTAACACATCCCAGGGATGCAGAGGCAATATCTGCAAAGCAGGATTAAGTCGTTCCTGACAGGCAGTTGAGGAAACACCATTCCCACCTACTCTGAAGTTACCCCGTGTGCACAGATCCTGGCATTTTTCACGGGAAATTGATTTATTTAGATCATTCAGAGATATTAAACATTAGTATTTACAGTCCATGCATCTGCTGCAGTGAAAGCAACAGGAATATGTCACTATATTAATTTTATGAAAATAGTGAACGGCGTTCCCTGTTCCTTTTGTCCTGCCCAACGGTATATTTAATTCTTTGTATAAATTTGGGTTTACTGTACCATAATCCCCCGGGGCCAAGAGGCAGCTGAGACCAAGGTTCCATAAATTCTCTGTCAGCTGGTTATTAACATTTATTTTTACAAAAAATATCTCCATGGGAAGTGTTTATGAAGACACATTTTAAAACAACTCCAGCAAGAAGTTTACTTCCAGCTATACAAAATTTATAAATTGTATTCCGCTCAGTGAGGAAGTTTACATTTCACCCTTCTAGGCTGTATTACCACTGAGTTTTCTATCTGCAAAGTCTATCCTTTTCCTGACATCATCCTTTTCTAAAATCTTTTTAACTACAACAGTTTTATTAAAAAAAAATAAAAACAAATAAAGAACAAGCCAAACAAAAATCCCACATAAAACACCCTCATTTCAAACCTGCAGGGAAACCAACCAAGTTATGGTAAAATCTGTTTGCCATAAGGTTTCCTTCTCAATGCTTATTTATTGGGGATAACTCAGGTGCTCATCTGTTGCCATCTCACATTGTCTTGAAACTACATTGGGAAAAAAATTCGGGAAATTTGACACACAAATAATAAGTTTGGTCATGAAGCATGAAAAAGTCTCTTTCCATCTATCAAAAT